AACACCAATGATAATAATAATACAACATCAATAAACAATACCAATATCATTGATGACAATAATATTGCAACATCAATAATTAATAATGATAATAATGAAGATAATGAAGCCGGTTGGGATGATGCAACAGAAGGTAAAATATAGATTTTCAGCTGTTTGAAAAACAGAAAAGATTCTTTTTGTTATGTAAAAATATCTCATTTAACAGAAATTGAATAATGAAACAAAACACTGTTTTTTTCTCACGAAGACGTGCGCACCACTTTAAAACTCAAATCGAAACCATCACCATTCCAAAGTTGATGGAGGTTTTTGAAAAGCTTCTAGCTGATACTTTTAAACTACAAAACGCAAACTTTTCTTGTCTATGTATTGATCAAGCTGGCTAGTTTTTGGTGTAGACTCTTAGTGTAGGACAAGGAGCAGTCAAAAAAAAACTCCTCGACTGACTACAAGTTCTAATTTAGCGCATCGGTGACGGCGACATATTCGGTCTTTCGGGCGAAGTTTGATCTTTCGCAGATCGTCATGACGATCTGCGAAAGACCGAACTTTCTGGCTCATTCCGTTGAGAATTGATAAACATTTTATGAGAGCTTTGAAAATGCACAGCTGGTCATTTTAAACTCTATCGAGTTCGGGGTATCGAGTTCGGGGTATACATGAGCGAAGTCCAATGGCAGTATTAGTTTTTAGTTTCAATATGACTATGAGTTGCTAGGTCAAGATTTTTCTGTCTCAGTCTAACCAAAGCTTCCAATGTATGATAAGGTATTTTCGAGATTTGTCCATCTCTTGTCGGTTTATTTCAGAACTAAAAACTAGTTCTGTCATTCGACTCTGCTCAGTTAAATGGCCTAAACTTGATAGAGTTGAAAATGATTAGTTGACCAGTTTCAAAGCTCTCATAAAATGCTTCTAAATTCTCAACGGAATGAGCTAGAAACTTCGGTCGTTCGCAGATCGTCATGAAAATGTCGCCGTCACCGATTCGCTAAATTGGAACTTGTAGTAGGTCGAAGAATTTTTTTCAAAGCTCCTTGTCAAAGTCTGCACTAAAAACTAGTCAACTTAACCATAACGTAGGCAAGAGAATTTCGTAGAGTTTTATATCACTATACTTCTGTTTCCAGTGGTGAAAATCTCAGATTTCGTGAATGTTTTGCTTTCGAAATAATTCTATATGATCAACAACAGTTTGATTACTGACAACTGAAATTTGGATATATCCAGTAATGATGATGCTGATCCAATAGATAAAAAGAAAATTTATATTGTGATGAAAAAATGTCGTTCATTTATTAGTATGATTAATAAGTCAAGTATATTAAAAGACTATTTTGATTAATTACGTGCTACGTTAGATAAAAAACGTAGTCTAGCTGATGACTGCGAAACCAGATGGAATAGTACTTTTTATCTTATCGATGCGTTTATTGATTTGAAAATTTTAATAGTAAAATTTTTTGGTGATAAAAATCTAATGGATGTACAACGTGCTTTAATTAACAAAATGATTTCTATTGAGTTACAGCATGATGATTGGGTACTTCTAACCAACATTCATATGGTTCTGAAACCGTTTGATTTAGCGACAATATTACTGTCGGGTCGTTCCTATCCAACGGCTGGTTTATGTTACTACGCAATTAAAAAAATTCATAATTTCCTAATAAAAGATTTCAACGATAATACACAAGTTAAATCATTAAAAAAATTATTATTATTGACATATGAAAAATATTTTATTTCTGAAAAGGAGCAATTGAAATTACTCAAGATAAGCAGGACAATAGAAAACAGTAGCTTTCTAGATAGTTCATACTGGATCTAATTTTCATGTTGTCTACATTACAGTTTCATATAATGCATTGTTCTCTCTCAACACCCTAGAAATAATTATGTAAAACCGGACCCTTCATTCTGGGGAAATGTTTACAATATAATCTTAATAAAACATAACTAGGTGTAACTATGTTTATATATATATATATATATGGGTGAATTGCAAAATTATTGTACCGTCATATTCTTATATGTAAAATATCAATATCTCGAGTTCTTCTCAATCAGTCTCTATGAATTTTTCAGGTTAGGTTCCCCTAAGAAGTCCTCACTATCACACAAAAAATCACAAATTTATCTCGAACTACTCTAGAGATATTGGATGCGCAATGTATAATAGATCGATTTTTACTGTCGCCTATAGGGGACAAAGTCATATAACCGATCGGTTCCCTTCTTAGTTGAACTTCAGAATTTTGCAATGTTTTAGTAGACAGCCTATGCTTTTCGGATATAAGATTGGGTGGTTCTTTTATCGTGGTTCTTATTATACCTTTTTCTGAATATCAGATGTACAGTCATTCTTCGATTTTGCTGTCACGCGAGATTAAAAACGACCTTTGCCACTTATCAACTCATTTAAATCGATCGGGTTGCTGTTGAATGAAAATCAATTAATGGGAAATACAACTGCCAAGGACGATGAAAAAATTGTACTAATTCTTGTTAATAAAAGATATGAAATACCACCTTGAAAATTGGGTTGTCATGCTAAATGTCACGCGAAATTGTTTTACTTTGTTTGGCGTATAACTCTCTTAAAGTACGGCAGCGTGAGATGAAATTTTGATCATTTTATCCGCTCATTGTGGCCAACTACCACTAATAATATCATTCTCAGAAAACTTATAGTTCATGGGAAAAGGGAAAATTAGTGTCAATGTGTCACGCGAGATTATTATGTGCATAGCTACTTCAGAACAGAAGCCAAAGTATACACATTATATATTACTTGGTTCCATATTGAAAGAGGTTATCAAGAGGCATGTGCATTAATCCCAGATTGTGTCTCACACGTTAATAAATTCACAAAAAAAAGTCACTGATTATATACATTCTCTGATTGATTGCATATTGACAAATTTTATCGCTGTATAGTGTAAAAACCATATATAGTTTAGGCCAAACTACGCTTTTTTCAGTCGCTGCTTCTACATTGAACATGGTTCCTTATTGAAAAAGAAAAGACTCAATTTTAAGATCTAAAATACCATTGAAAAATTCAACTACCGAATGTACTATCAAAGTCATTTGACCTTAAAATTTAAACAGTATTTTTAGAAAAACCCTCGTATCTCGGCCAGTTTGATAGTGGTAGTCGGGAAAATGTATTCATATTCTCCTCTCATACAGTACTATAGAATGCACTAATCACCGTTTTCAAAATCGAAAATATTTCTTCGACTTTTTTTTGCAGAACGGTACAATAATTTTGCAATTCACCCATATATATATATACGGTGCGAGTTATTTTAAGAAGTGTTCCCAAGATATAAAGTGAAACACATTGTAAATTTCTGTGGATATACGCTTATAGTGTCGGTGCATATCAAGTTCAGATACGTCGCAGTATAAATGTAGCATTTCGGATTTTTCACCATTATGAACTTCAGCGCATTCATACACTTCGTATATAAAAATTTTCTACTTTTAGAAATATGCTTTTTTTGATCCACTTGGCTTCTCAATTCTCAATGAAATTGATATTCAACATATTGAAAATGGAATCAATGATATTATTCGAAATGAAATAAATTATCAAAATCAAGTTTCGGCAACAACAAGACCAACTTCAACAATTACTTCATCATTATCTTCATCAACAACAGAAGCTGCTTCCTCCTCCTCGTCATCATTATCAACAACGACAGCTACTTCATCATCATCCTCAAAAATCGAGCCAAAACCATCAACACTTGATGAATTTTTAGTTGCTTGTGGAGAATCTCAAATTAGCGATAGTCAAAACGTAAACAGCGCAAGATTAACACTTGATGAAGAACTACTGTAGTAAATTACAAAAAATGTGCTATTGATTTCTGTAGTCGTCAAAAACCAACAGCAAGTGCATCTATAAACTTCTGGAAAAAATACTATAATGATTTTCCAGTTTTGTCACAACTTGCTGGAGTCTATCTATCAACACCAGGGACAAGTATTGCTTGTGAATCAGCTTTTTCAATTTCAGCATATGTTGCCAGAAAAGAGAGAGCACGTTTAAGTGCTGATAATTTGAGTTTTACGATGTTTTTGAAGGATAAAATCGCATAAATTAAATAAAAGTTTTTTTTTCTGTAGAGATAAATATTTGCTTATTCTGAAGTTTCTTATTCATTTAATCTGCCATTATCATATCTAGCAATTTTACTGTGAAATATTTTCGTCGTCGCAATGAATTTTCAAGTTGTTCAGATAAAAAAAGACTGTTTTTTCTATATTGTGCTTTTGTTTATTGTGAAATATGCAGTTTGTGCCGAAATTAAAAATAAACTATGATTAATTTTGTGAACACATGTTTACTAAATTCGTCTGTGCCTCGGACTAAAATAGATGCTACGTTATATATCGCAATGGTAATGATTTTTAAAAAACACATACGTGAATTATTTGCCTCAGTAGAATATAAGAAATAAGGGATAACTATTCATACATAGATTTATATTGAATTAAAAGCATTCACATGTTGAAAACCTGCTCTAAATGAATTATTTAACTGATCGATTGGTTCTTAGGTATGATGCACCATACACTGACGTAAGTGGGATATAGTTATTTAGCCTTGTTGATTTTTAATATATCGACTAAGATATGTTACTCTTCATACCACTTTATGACGATTTTACCTAATTTCCAACTATGTTGATGTTCTATTCAGTATCAGTGTCAAAGTTATGTCGGTCACCGCTATGCTGATCCATAGCCGGACTTGCGTCCGCGCTTCAGAGACAATTACAGTCAATAGACCGAAACGCAGGAAGAGAAACTACTCCTACCAGTTTGACCTGTAAATAAAACAGAAAAACACGAAGAAAAACAATTTATTCGTATTTCTTTTGAAACTTTGGTTGACAAACAGTGAGT